GCCGGGATGTCGTTGGCTCTTTTTCATTTTGGTGTTCCTCTGCAGCTGCTTGGGCCTTGTCTGCAGGAAGTGCCGGCGCCCCCGTCCCCTGCGAAGAGGCATTTTTGGCAACAGTCTCCTCAGGGGGTTTCGGCCCGGCATGCGATTCGGGGACCGCAGGTGGAGGGGCCGCAGGTGCCAAAACATCTTCAACTCCCTCCTCCTCACCGCCGCTGACCTCGGGCCCGAATTCGGGAACACTCGTCCCACTTCCGCTCGTGGGCAACGAGGAACCCGCCTGCGGCCCGCGGACTTGCTCCTTCTCGGCGGCCGGCTTTGGAAGAACCACTTTGCTCTGCTTGAGGTTATGGAAATCATCAGAAAACAGCTCGTCGTTGTACAGCAGGACGTTGGCCACCGTCACGTGGGGGCTGGTCGCTGCGCCCGCCGCCGCACCGTCGCCGCCAAAGTAGAAGTGCGAGATGCGGTGCGAGTCGAACAGAGAAGTGTCGTACTTACCCTCGTAAATCTCGTCCCCGTCAACGTACACAGCGAACTCGTCGTCAGCATTCATTTTCACGGCCACCTGGTAGGCCCTGTTCACCTCCCACGTCTCATCGTCATCTGACAATCTCGGGCTTTGACCGCTGACCGTCACCTTCCACTTGCCGTCCGGCGTGTACGAGAGGCCGAAGAGCACCGTCTTCGCTGAGTCGTTCATCCTCACGCCCAGCAGAGGAGTGTCCGCCTCCGGCACCGCGTGGATCATCACCGTCGCCGCAAGCGTGAACTTGTTGTTCGCAAAGTAGTACGGCTGCACCTGCCCCCTGCTTCCCACGGGCCACTCCGCCCATGAGCCACTTCCCTTGAACGTCACGCCCAGCCCCGTGCGTGTCAGTTGCCCGCCCTTCACCGTGGCGTTCACGCCGAGGTACTCGTCCACCCACGCATCCTGATCCAACGTGTTGGACAAAAATCCCACCAGCCCATCCGTGGGAACAGGGCCGCTGCACATGCCCCTCTCTTTCGGGTTGAGGCTTCCAGTGGGAGTGCATTTATCCAGGGCCGTGTCCAGTTCCTTCCAGGCGCTCACCACTTTTTTTATCTCCGGCAGCCTGTCAGTCAGGCTCGCAGCGACGAGGCTGTAGGAACTTTCAGCACCCTTCTTCTCGTACAGCAGAAGCAACTCCTCCTGTGCACCGTCGCTTTTGTACAGCAGGGAGCTGGCGGCGGCGTCGTGGGCCGCGTCGGACACCGGCCCGACGTCATGCACGCGGGCACCGTCGGTCAACCAAAGGTGCAGCTGGCCCTTTGCGGCGTCGCCCTCCTCTGAATACACCGGCGTGGTGAGGAGCACCACCTCCGTGTCCTCGATGCTTGCGGTGGTGAAGCCGCTCTGCACGCCGTGCCCTCCTTGGCGCTTCAGTGAGGTGCCCCACACGCGGGAAATCGGCTCGCCACTGAACCAAGCCGTACCGGCCCCGGAGGACTTGTACACGTCGTAGTAGCCGCCCGCACAGTGAGCCATCGCGAGCAGTTTGTCTTCGCCCCACCGCGCGATCGACGGGTCTCTGCAGCCCTCACCGGTCGTATCGTACGAAAGCGTCCATTTCTTCTTTGACGGCTCCAAGCGCATGGCCAGCAAAACACTCTTTCCATCCGTTTTGACGGCCTGCATGGGGAACACAAGCGTGCCGTCACTCAGCACAGCACCCGAGCCCCCGCCGCCAGACAACTCAGTGAATGAGTTATGGAGCCCTATAGATGCGGCGTCCAGCGCAC